ATGTTTCTTTCTTCATCCGACTGCAGAGCCTGGTTTGCTGTATTCCTCATCGAGTCTGTTACTATAGTAACAGTGAACCTCCTTTCAATCATTCTTTTCATAAAAAACAGTAATCTTCGCTCTCGCGGGATGTACTTGATTATAAATTTGACGGTGGCTGACGTGTTGGTGGGGGGGATTTCTACTTTTCATCTATTAAAGATGGTACACTTTTATTGCAATATTGTAACCTTAAATTTAACTGAGGAGGGTAACGTTGTAACAAATTTTTGTTTCTATTTTTTCCCTCTCACTTCTCTGTCAAACATTGCTGTGATTTCTTTAGAGCGGCTGCATGCCACCTTTCGTCCATTCAGGCATCGCGTGATTAAAAAAAGGGTATACTGGGTAACAATTTCTGGTATATGGGTCTCAGCTGCGGTGGTATCAACTGCCATTATAATACTTAGAATAGTCAGCCCCAACAAATGGAACCTTTATTATTTTGCTTTGTGGCAGTCGTACAGTTGTTTATGCCTATTTGTTATCTGTGTTTGTTACACTTGCATTTCGATCAAATTTTTTTGTGGAGCGCATCCTCAGCACCATGGTGCAGCCAATAGACAAAGAAAACTGACCGTGACATTGCTCATAATGACTGTTATATCTTTAATTATGTGGCTACCATACGCTTTGGGCTCTTTTATTAATTTGACAACCAATACTTTTAGATATATTTCTTTCCAAGACAACGTTCGATGGAGTTTTTCAATGATTGCTCTATTTTATGCAAACTCTCTTGTAAATCCTCTTTTATACGCTATCAGAATGCCAGCTTTCAAAAGAGCTTTGTTCGCATTATTTAAACAAAGGCGGGATGCTGTTGTTCCACCTCATCCATGTTACATGTAACTTACAAGCGTTAACATAAGTACGCTTTATTGTTTTATGTCACATACTTACTTGGGCTTGTTAATTAATTAATTAATTAATTTTTAATTACCTGTGTCATTAAAATAAACTTATCCCAAGATTTCAATGAGGTTTATTCTTAAACATGATTTCTTTGAGGTTTTCATGCTATCTGTGAAAACTAAGTTGAAGCTTCTATACTGAAACTGTTTGAGATTTCTGGGGATTTTGTTTGCAAAATTCACCTTTTTTGGATTGGATACTTATCCTTGCTAAATGAAACCCCTAAAGCTATTTTGTAGGCAAACTCTATTTTTAGCGGAGCTCTAGGCGCGCGCTTCGTAGCCCCATACCTAAGAAAATGTAGTAATCTACTCACACGAGAATTTTTGGTAATCACGTGACCTTACGCCCGACCGACCGTCCATCCGCACCACGGGGAAACCAATGTTAAATGTCACACGATCTAGCTTGTGTGAGAGCCTGCAGCCTGATATTGCACATCCATTTTGTGGTAAATAGCCCAGTGTCGAATATTGTTTGTACGAGAATGCCTGGTAACTAGTTTATAGCATCGAGTCGAGGCTGAGGGGAATACGCCTGAAACTTTACGAACCAGAGCGACTGCAAGTAAAAAATGAGGTATTGTGCCATCTCTGTGTGTAAAAATCATTCTGAAAAAAGACCAGACCTAAATTTTTTCGATTTTCCGAGCAAGGAGTAGCTTGGAAAGAATTGGAAAACCTTTGTCGTGGCGCTGATAAGGAGTTTGAGTCCGTGAAAAATTTGCATATATGCTCCGAGCATTTTGAGAGAAAGCACATCTTGAAGACCCTGTCTGAAACTAAAAAGTTAGCAAAAGGAACCGTTCCTACAATTTTGAATCCACAAAAAGTCCCTCGAAGTCCAAGTCAACGCGAAAAGTGGATGAATGACCCAAGAAAATGAAATTCGACTGAAGACAACAACGTAATGTTCCCGCGAAAATTCCACGTGTTGTATCGCCTGAAGTTGCTTTGAGGGACCACGACTACGTCCTTGAGGATGACAAAATTCACGGTAATTAGCTTCCCTCAAACATTCAAAACGCCAGCGACGTAAAAGAATATTTTTCCGTTTCTGGCCAAACGGAAATTGACAAAAATTAAACATATGGAGGAATTTACCTAAAAAGTATCAAAGTTAATAACCGAGGACAAAACACTTCGGAACAGACTCAATGACAAGTCAGCATTAAGATGTGAAATTTGTATGGACGACTTGTTGAAAAATGACGAAACTGTGAAATTTTACACCGGAATACCAACTTTGGCTTGTCTGACGGCAATATTTAATCTTTTGAAGCCTTTCGCTTAGAAGCTGAAGTACTGGGGCACAAATAAAGGGAAGAGAGTCAACTTTCAAAAGAAGCCTTCTGTAAAAAAGAGCGGCAAAAAGAGAAGTCTGACAATCTTTCAAGAATTTATTTTGAACTTGTTAGACTTAGACTAGGGCTACTTGTGCAACACCTGTCAGGAGCTATTTCCAAAGCTTCTGTTATAATTAGTAAAGTGTTTGCTATCTGGATCTGCTTTCTTGCTGTTACCTTAAAGCATGTTTTGTTAATTTGGCCTTCCAAAGAATCAGTTCGCAAAAACCTGCCCAAGTCGTTACGAAATTACCCCAACACCAGAGTTGAAATTGATTGCACGGAGATATTCATTCAGTGAACCTACCTATATCTCCTGCTGCCCAACGTTTTGCACGGAGTGAGTATAAAGGTCATAACAGGATGAAAACTTTAGTAGGCATAACTCCATCTGGATTTTCAGTTTTGTGTGAAAACTGTGGAGTGGAAGTACCAGTGACCGAAAACTCACTCTGAAGAGCGGGGTTTTGGACCTGCTTACGAAGCGAACGGCCTACCTCAACATGCCCCCTTTCTCCAAGAAAGGTAACTTATATATACACTTCCTGCACAAGAGTTTCCTCAAAAGTGTTAGAAATTGAGTATTTTCTCCAACAGCAATCAGTTTGAATGCAACATGTAAACATTACACAACCTTAAGATACAGAGATTTATCCAGTCCAGGGTCGTCAGGGTGTATTTGTGTGCTGGTCACTGCACTCACCCAAGGTACTGCAAATACACTTCCTTCTTATTACCTTCAATACTTCCTATCCCTACCACATTGTCTGTAAACTTAATATTCCAGGTGACTCCCACCCCCATCAAAATCCCAAATATAACCTTGTAGTTTGAATGCAAACTACTATATGTCCAATCTACACAGTGCCACACCACTGAACCTATGTCAACTCAACATCTATTCAACTGGAATTAAATGTCAATACGCGCTTTAAAATTTCGTTATTAAATAATAGGTAACAACTGTCCCAAAAGTGCCTGACGTCAACAAGATCTATTGTAAGGGTCAGAATTCACGTTGAAAGAGTTCCATATTCTTCAAGGCAATCTGCCTATACCACTTGTACCTCTTGCTGATAAAATACTAACAGTTTGTGCTACTTTGTGTACTAGTCTTCTACCTCCACTAGCAAAGGAGGAATTCTATTTCATGAAAGTGTACCTCTAATTTGTTATTATCAAAACAATTCACAATAATTTTATCTTGCTAAAAAAAACTTTAAGAGACGGAAAGTAGTGTTGAGTGTGATGCCATTTTGATTTAGCTTTAAGTTTAACTTTGCCTTTTCAAATGACTGTAGACACTATATTGTTAAGTAAACAAAGGATGCAAATTCTTTAATGGGATTGGTTCACGTAGTAAGTTAACCATGGGAGACAAGCAAAAACTATGTAAGTCTGAATCCTCGTTTGTAACAAAGTATTGTAAGCTGATGCTAATATGGCATCAACTGACTGTGACTGAAGTCAATGATTTCTCATGGTCTGTTCACCTTCCATCGTAAATCAGTTAACTGATTTCAGAACAGTTTGCATGGCTTTTGATGCAAAGTCACCCTATCACATACACTTTTCACAGCACTACTTTACATGTGTGAGCAACATCACGCATAAAGAAAATGAATTTTCTGGTGTAGATTAATACACTTTCTAGGGTTGGGCTTAATAAGGTTAGACTGTTGCTTTTGCTGTTGCTGTGAAAAGATGGTAAAAATGTATGGTAATAAAAAAGCCATTCTTGTGCTAAAGCAAGTTAAAAGTGGCTTCTTACTCAGCCTTTTGAGTAACCTCTTCAAGAATCTTTCAACTGAGGAGTTCAGACACCATGTGTTCAAAGTTCAAAAAACAACTTTCTTAGCTTCCCAACCATGTGCTCCCACAGTTCCTCATCAAATTGAACTGGTACTACCAAAGTCCCTTTAATAAGAATACAACGAGTTAATCTAGCCATTGCTAGCTGTACTTGAATTTGATAGTTCCAAGTTGTGTCTTTTTTGACGAGATAAGATTTGCCATCCACTTTCTCAAGGTACGAGGTTGCGACAATAAAATGCTCTTAACCTTATAACCTCTACAAACTTGTTTCTGTCTGGAGAAGCCTCTAGATATGGATGCTGTACGTGTTTGTCTATAAAAAGCCCACTGTGAAAAACGTCCACTCTTGAGACCTTCTTTGACGATCTGGTGCCCTGAATTAGGTAGGAATGAGGTCGCTAGAGGACAGGGCGCCTTATTCTTATAGCTTACCACACAGCTAAACACTAGACGAGCTGTATAGCAAACTATACGACAGTGAACAAGAGTCTTACGGAGCCCTCGAGGTCTTCACTCACAGAAATGTTGTGCACTACAGAATCTTCCAACTCAGCGATAAACTTGCAGATCATGGGACAACTGGAGTCGAGGCACTCCTCTCATGGGTTTCTTCAATAAAACACGCACTTCGCTCCATATAGCATCCAGACTCCTCGATCATAAAACCGAAGTCCTTACGGACAGTAGTCTTTGTTTCCAAGACTGGTACAAGACGTTCAAGAGCGGGAGTTGTCCGCTAGTTCAGTTAGCTGCTTTTCTGCTCACGTGAGCAGCATTACTGGGATTGAGAATCTTCCATCTGACTTTGCATGCGGAAGCTATGGCCTCTGCTTCCGTCTTACCTAGTAGCCATGTCACCTGATGTTAGCGCAGTTTGCGCGGGTTTGCACTGAATGAGCCAGCCAAAAGCTGTAGCATTTAGCTCTTAGCTTGAAGAGGATTATCTATCTCTGTATTAGAATCGTTAACTTGTACACTTTGTTGTTACACCACTTATACATTTTCGCCATCAGGGTTAAAATTAATAGCAAAAAGTGAAAGCCTGTGTATGATGAGCACTATCGAACATTTTAGTGACTTTGTGGGGAGAGACAGAGCATTGTAATTGGAAAAATGGAACAAAAGGCTGGATTATTTTAGGGGAAAAAAAGCGTAACCTACAAAAGCCTGGCCTTCCCGTTCAACTTAAAGTCGAAGCTCTCGTAAGCAACCACCTCAGCGATTCGAAAAAGTGGTCGTAACTAGAACTGGTCGCTTACGAGTAGAGTGGTCGTGAGGAGAGCGTCGACTGTACTCAAAACTGATGCCTGTCCTCCATTGTTTTCCATTTATTCCGCCGTATTTGTCACTTGAGGTGAGTGGGTCAGTGAATTCAAACCAAGATATTCATGAAATAGCGCCAAACCTTTGACACCTTCCAACCAGTAGCATATAAAATGCCTTCCTAATAGCTTGAAAGCGCCTTTTTTTTAAAGGCACTTTCTTCGCACTTTTGAGAACATCTCTTTCAACCACAGAAAATATACCCTTTTGTACATTTGATAGGAACATTTCTAAACGCAAAAAGGGACCCTCGTGCTTTTGATGAGACTCGTTTGTAACCAAAACAGGTACTTTTTGCGTTTTAAAGGTTCGCTTGTCAAAATGAGAAACCGATGAACAATTTTGCCCCTTTTTTCTATGAACTTAATTTTTCTGCTCTTTTCAACACGGTTCAACTAGCCGGTTTATAAAATGG